AATGCATGCATGCATGCATATATGTATGTGTATATGTATATATATATATATATATACTTACATGTTGGTGCCTAATGACTGCATGCAGTCTACTAACAGATATATCACTAAGTCGTACATCTGAATCATGACCTCTTCCTAATCTTGCTGCTCTTCTATTCGCCAAGGAGACAACATGTAAACCACGAGGAGGAGAAGAAGAAGAAGAAGAAGATGACGAAGAAGAAGAACCTAATACACCAGCTGGATGTGCTGTACGAGGCTCTGCATGCATACAACCAACTGCCATGCACAAGCACGAGGGTTTATTACGGTTTCTAGGGTTTTCTGGGTTTCTAGGGTTTAGCGTTACTACGGTTTAGGGTTTCTAGGGTTTCTAGGGTTTAGGGTTTAGGGTTTACCGAGTATAAAGTAAGGGAATTGTGGTCTTGGTATAGCAAAGAGTTCGATGACTTTCCTGTTTGCCTCTACTAAGGAAGGATAAGGAGCCTTACATAATTCACCTGCAGCAGCAGCAGCAGCAGCAGCAGCAACAGCAACAGCAACAGCAACAGCAGAAATTGCAGCAACAGCAGCAATTACAGCTCCAGGTGTAGAGCTACCATACAGCCTGATAGCAATATAGTTCGCTGTCTGGCTAGCTAGCTAGCTAGCTAGCAAGTTAGCAAGCCAGCTAGCTAGCTAGCTAGCTAGCTAGTTGAGGGTTTGCTGCCTAGGAGGCCCACAGTCTAACGAGCGAAGGAAATATCCAACAGTAGATCCATCCTGTAAAGAAATACAAAACCCTAAACCCTAAACCCTAAACCCTAAACCTCCACGTGCACCAGCCATCTGTATCCATGACCCCCTAAATAAGATGATGAAGGCTACAGGTTCTTGTAGACATGAGGGTTTAGGGTTTGCAAGAAATAAGGGTTTAGGGTTTGCAGGTTATAAGGGTTTAGGGTTTGTAGGGAAAACTAGGGTTTAGGATTTACATTGCGAATGTTGAGTCGTCCCTCCATCCAGGTGCGAAGACACTGCAGGTGTACATACTGCATGCTGCCTGGACACCCAAGTAGCAGCAGCAGCAGCAGCAGCAGCACAAGCAGCAGCAGCAGCAGCAGCAACAGCAACACAAGCAGCAAAGGCATTGGTCGCATGGCGAAAGAGACTCTTTTCAGCTGCTTAGGGTTTAGGGTTTGAGGGTTTAGGGTTTCCTAGGGTTTAGGGTTTCCTAGGGTTTAGGGTTTAGGGTTTACCTTTGCAGCGGCAAGGAGCAACAAGAGGGTTTGTATCTGGGTTATCATCTTCTGCTGCTTCGCATAAACAAATGCGGCAAGCTGGCCTAGAGAAGAGACTACTGCAGCAGCAGCAGCAGCAGCAGCAGCAGCAGCAGCAGCAACAGCAGACACAAGCACAAACTGACCGTCAAGAACAGCAGCAATAACAGCAGCAACAGCTGCTGTTATTGCACTACAAAAAACGCTTTCTGCTTAGTGCTGTTTGCTGCTGCTGCTGCTGCTGCTGCTGCTGCTGCTGTGTGTGTGCTTGTCTTTGCTGCTGCTGCCTCACCTGCGGCTTGCTCTTGCATCTGCACTAAGGGGACGCATGCCCATTGCTGCGGCACCTGTAACAAGCAAGCAGCAAACATAGACACAGCAGCAGCTGCAGCAGCAGCAGCAACAACAGCAGCAGCAAAAGCAGCAGCAACTGCTGCTTGACCCAACCCTCGATCTGAGACTTTCCCTTCCCCACCCTCTAAACCCTAAACCCTAAACCCTAGCTAACCTTCAGCAGAATGATTAGGTGTCTCCCCTGTATCATAGAAGAGTTCCCCTCCTACCCCCGATCCCTTGGGGGTAAGGAGACAGTTCTCTGATACACATCTAGATAGGGGACCAGCAAGTGCAGCTCTGCTTCCTGCTGCTGCTGCTGCAGCAGCAACAGCTCTTAAAGGAGACCCGGGAGGTAGAGCAGCAGCCGCTGCAGCAGCTGCAGCAGCTGCAGCAGCAGCAGCAGCAGCATGAGTTGCAACAGGGGAGGAGCCAAATGCTTCTCTGCTTGGCATCCTGCTGAAGACTTGCTGTTCTGCTGCTGCTGCTGCTGCTGCAGCAGGTGGACAGTTATTGACAGCAGCAGCTGCTGCTGCTGCTGCAGCTGCTGCACCTTCAAGTGCTGCTGCTGCTTCTCCTTCATCACCATCTGCTGCTGCTGCTACACGAGGTACTCCTTCCTCTCCTGAATCAAATTCTGCATCTGCTGCTGCTGCTGCTGCTGCTGCTGCACTCTCTGGCTCAGGTGCAACTGTCTCGCAGTCATCCACATCACCTAAATGAGGACGCTGTCTGCAGCAACAGCAGCAACAGCAACAGCAGCAGCAGCAGCAGCAGCAGGAACATATGTGTCTACCTGCAAGTGGCTAGCTAGCTGTATCTTCTCTATGGCTACCCAGCTACCTAGATAGCTAGCTAGCTAGCCAGCTACCTACCCATCTACCCACCCACCTCCCCACCCACTCATCTAGCTAGCTAGCTAGCTAGCTAGCTAGCTACCCACCTAGCTAGCTAGCTAGCTAGCTAGCTAGCTACCCACCTATCCATCTATATAATTGTATGTCCTTACCCAGCAGTAGCTAATAATGCTTGTTATTGATCAAGAACCAGCACTCCCTACCTACCCACCTACCCACCTACCCAGCTACCCATCTAGCTAGCTAGCTATATATTAATATATATATACTTACCTAGCAGTAGCTAATAATGCTTGTTGTTGATCAAGAACGATTTCTTTAAGTTACCCACCTACCCACCTACCCAGCTACCCATCTATCTAGCTATCTAGCTAGCTATCTAGCTAGCTAGCTATATATATAATATATACTTACCTAGCAGTAGCTAATAGAGCTTGTTGTTGATCAAGAACGATCTCTTTAACTTTAAGTTTAAATCTTCCTACCCAGCTACCCATCTACCCACCTACCCAGCTACCCAGCTACCCATCTATCTATCTAGCTAGCTAGCTAGCTAGCTAGCTAGCTATATATATATACTTACCTAGCAGTAGCCAATAGAGCTTGTTGTTGATCAAGAACGATCTCTTTAACTTTAAGTTTAAATCTTCCTAATTTAAGAATATCTCCTTCTAATAGACGAACACCTCCACATTCACGTAAGCTACGTACTACTAACCATACCTTTTCTGTCTGTATAATATACACAACAGCAGCAACAGCAGCAACAGCAGCAACAATAACAGCAACAATAACAGCAATAGATAGAGGAGATACAGACGATCAAGGGGATGGGTTATACGATGGGAGGGAAAGGCAGAACAGGGAAGGTAATTGGGAACTCCTGCTGATGCTGCTGCTGCTGTTGCTGCTGCTGTTGCTGCTGCTGTTCATTATTACCTCTGGTTGAGTAGATGATGATCCTCCTTGTCTTGATTGGGTTCCTCCTCTTGTTGCTCCTGTTGAACCTCCTCTTGCAGGTGGATCTGTTGCTGCACCTGGTGCTGCAGCAGGTGCTGCAGCAGTTGGTTGTGGTTGTGGTGGTGCTGCTGCTGCAGCTGCAGCACGTGCAGCAACAGCAGCAGCTTGTGTTGCTGCAGCTGCTGCTGTTGCTGCTGGTATAGATGAACCACAACCACTTGATTCACGATGTGTATCTCCATCTTCCTCTCCTCCTGCTCCCTCTCCTGCTGCACCTGTTGCTGCTGCTGCTGCTGTTGCTGCTGCTGCTGCAGCGTCTTGATAATTCTGCTGCTCTTGCTGCATCCGTCCTGTTGCTGCAGCTGCTGAATCTCCTTCCTGTTGTCTATTCTGCTGTTGCTGCTGTTGGCGTGTTGTAGCTGCAGCTGCATCTCCTGCTGCTGCTGCTGCTGCACCACTAGATGCAGCAGCAGGAGCAGGAGCAGCAGGAGCAGCAGGGGCAGCAGCAGAAACAGGAGGAGGAGGGAGAACACAATATGCACCATCCATCCAAGTAATACGTAATAATGCTTTTGCTTCTGCTGCTTCTGCTGCTGCTGCTTGCTGCAGCATTTGTATTGCTTCCTCCTCTGATGATACAGATACTTCTCCTGCTACTCTTATACAACAATATGAATCATCTGCAGCAGCAGCAGCAACAGCAACAGCAGCAGCAGCAGCAAATTGATTGACCAATGGTCCATTTACAAGAAAAAACAAGAAAGCAGCGCAGCAACAGCAGCAGCAGCAACAGCAGCAGCAGCGCAGCAACAGCAGCAGCAGCAACAGCAGCAGCAGCAACAGCAAGAGCAGCAGTAAACCTCCTGCAGCAACACCACCCCAACCACCACCAGCAGCAGCAGCACAACAATCAACAACAGCACCAACAGCAGCAGCAGCAACAGCAGCAACAGCAACAGCAGCAGCAGCAGCAGCAGATATACTTACGCATGCAATTAATTCTGTATGTTTTTTTAGCAACATTTCTTGATTCATAATCAAATAGTCCATGACTATCACTTGCCCAAGTTGTACAGTGTATATACATCGAGTACCCTCTTGTCTTAGAGGGGGGGCCCCCTGGGGGGCCCCCAGATGAAGGGCCCCCTGATGGAGGGGCACCAGGTGGGGGCCCACCAGGTGGAGGGGCACCCTTGGAAATACGAGATGGGGCACTCACGTCCTCATTAGCAGCAACAGCTACAGCACGCTGCTGCTGCTGCTGCTGCTGCTGCTGCTGCTGCGGTGGTGGTGGCATTTGCTGCTGTTGAGGAGCTGGGACTAATCTAGTGTCATGAAATGTTGCATTATTGTTATTGCTGCTGCTGCTGCTGCTGCTACTGCTGCTGCTACTGCTGCTGCTGGTTGGGTCCGCAGGAAAAAGGCGGCCGCTGGGGGCCCCTGCTTGGGCAGCTGTTGGGGGGGATGGGGCCTCCATGGTTGCTGCAGTAGTAAGGAGCAGAAGACAGCAGCAGCAGCAAGGAGCAGTAGGCAGCAGCAAGCAGCAACAAGCTGTGTTGCTATAATGGGGGCCCTTGTTGCTTGCAGCTAAGCAGCAAACTGTGCTGTCATTGGGGGCCCCTGCTGCTGCTCCTTAGCGGCAACAGAGTAGTAGGTAGATATGCGTCTCTAAGGCGGAAAGCTAAGAGAAGAGCAGCAAGACCTGCTGCTGCTGCTGTTCTTGCTGCTGCTGTTGCGGCTGCGGCTGCGGCTGCTGCGGCTGCCTTCTGCAGCAACACGTGAGGCAATGAGAAGAGCAGTGGGGGCCCCCTGACCCAATGGGCCCAAAAAGTCGAGAGAGGGTAGGGGCCCCTTCCTGCTTGTCCGTGCTGCAGCTGTTCGAGCTGCTGCTGCTGCTGCTGCTGTTGCTGCTGTTGCTGCTGCTGCAGGGATGCAGCAGGAAGGATGGCAAGGCAGACTTGGTGAGAGACAGTAGAAAGCGACTAGGGTTTACGTTAAAGGACTGCAGCAGCAAGGAAGGGGAAGCAGCAAAATGACAGATAGATAGATGTGGCGAGGCGGTCGGGGCCTGCTGCTGCAGTGCAGCAGCAGCAGCAGCAGCAACAGCAGCAAACCCTAAACCCTCAAAAAAGTGGTTTTTGAGTGTTTGATTGAACAAGAGGGTTTATAACGAGGGTTTATGCAAATACTGCCAAGCAATAACCAACAACCCCGCGCGCTGTCTGCCTCTCCCGCGCTGCTGCTGCTGCTGCTGCTGCTGCTGCTGCCTAGCTTCAGCAACTCGAATGTCAGACCCTAAACCCTAAACCCTAAACCCTAAACCTCCTCACAGCTTATCTGCTTCTAAAAAGATTTTTCAACACACTCAACAGCCACTAACTCACGCCTCCTCTGCGTCACTCCCTCTACAGTTAAGCTGCAAAGCAGCAGCAGCAGCAGCTGCTGCTGCTGCTGTTGCTGCTGCTGTCTTGCTGCAGTGGGAGTAAACCTGCTGACACCGCGCTAACCCTCCTTTAGAGTTTTTCTCGTGTATGTACACTCCACTGTACAGCTGAGCTGTACATACATCCCAGTGGACAGCGCTGCTGTATATATACCCACCAATATATGCCTGAGCAGCAGCTAGATCTGCAGCAGCAGCAGCAACAGCACCTAAATGTAACTACTAGCTGCTTTAATTTGTGCTGCTTACCCTTTAAATAATCTCTTTCTGTATATTTCTTCCTCCGCTTTGGCTAGCTGTGCAAGGGATAGTTCTCCTTAGCTACTGTATATAAGATAAGGTGTGGTAGTGCATGCGTTGTAAGAACGGTGACCTACGTACGTTTACAACGGTTTCTTGCAGTATATGCAGAGCTACTGCAGGAAGGCGTGTTGCTGTTGCTGCTGCTGCTTCCTGCTGCCTTCTCTGACTCCTCCTCCCCCCTCTATGATACTGTGTCTGTGTCATCGCTCACTTGGGTATTATACACTGTTAAGGCCCCTTGTGATCTCCTCCCTTCTTGGAGGCTGTCTCTTAAGGGCCAAGGAAGTGTTGGGTAGTTGCATGCATTGGCAGCGCATGCAACAAATGGGGCTTGGGGCTGCAGCATGTGGGGTTGTCTTGCAGCATTTGTTGCAGACACGAAATAAGCTCCCCGTTGCAGTAGGTGTCAGGCCGCCTCCTGTGGCGGCACCCCCTTTCCCTCAGCTGCTTCTAGCCATGGAGATTGAGGAGTAAAGGGAAGGTCGGCAAATTAATGGTCCTCCCTCCTGTAGGTTGACTTAACTGTCCCTTGTACCAATGGTCCTTAGTCTAAACCTAGCGAGGATCCGCATTGCAATTCGCAGCATAGTTGCATACTTAAGGAAAACAGAAATGTTGAGGAAAATGGGAACTACTCATCATCTGCACATTCTTTCGCTTCCAGCTAGAGAGGAGCATGCACCGTGCAGGGTAGCAGAAGGAGAGCCAGCTCTGCAGTCATAGACAAAGTATATCCTTGGGCAAATATTAACAGTCGGCGAGTGTCATAGGATTTACTTTTTTATGGGCAGAGTCAACAATAAATACACAATTTCCTATCCTGCTAGAATTCAGTTAGACCACAGGAAGGGCCCCACATATAGAAGCTGCATGCTTCTAATAAAAAAATGTTATTGTTGTGGCTGTTGTCCTGAAGGAAAGGAAGGGGGGAGACTCAATAAAGGTCACCACATTAACACTGGCAGCAGAAATCACCCGTCAACAGAAGACAGGTCAGACTCAATGCAACGGCGACACATTCTATGTCTGTGCAGTACTTGCCACTCTCCACCAAGTAACGTTAATCTTTGATTTTCTTCAGTGTGCTAAATGAATTTATAATACAACAGTGCCCTCTTCCAATTGTTGGAGTCGCGATTCTTTGCCTTACACACTAACACCTTCCATCGATCCTTCATGGGGTGTAGCTTGCAGCAGACAGTCCGTACGCCCGCTGCTGCTGACTTCCGTGTACAGCACGCAGTGACTCATTGACGCATAGAGAAAGCACAGAAAGACTGGTCAGGAGTCTGTGGCAAGACGTTGGGCATTTAATTGCAACTAAGTCAGTTGGGCCTTAGAGAGCCAACAACACACAAATCCCTCATGGCTTATTTATAACATAATTTGTGTGGTGCTGCCCCGTCCGTCCCCGAGAGATGTCTGCATCCTTATCTGACGATTTGTTTAGCTGTATAATTATTATATTATTTACCAAGGAATAATCCAGATGTCTTGAGCTCCTCCGCACATGACGTAGTGTACACTATTGAGTCTTAGGGAGCCAACAGAAGAAAGTGATTTTCTATACGCATGCAGAACGGATTGCAGAGACCATACAAAATATAAATATTGAATTAAAGGAGAAGGAGACCTGCAGATCGAGTGATCTCTTGTTGGTCCGCCTTGTGCTGCATTCCCTCAGAAGCAACTACACTAACTTCCTTAGACTTACGAGCAAAGACATAGAAGGAAATGTATACAGTCCTAGTGCATGCTAGATCTAGAGGACAGGAGAAGATTATAAATATTTAAGGAGGAAGTTTAAATGGGCCGAATATACACATGAACTGCAATAAGCAGAGGAGTTGTTCTTAGAGTTGAGCAGAGAGAGACAGCTAGCAAGGAGGAGGAAAAGGATGTGCACACGAAGCAAGTCCTAAGACTGCATCTAATGCATGCATTATGTCTTATTTTATCTCTCTTATGTCATAAAGAAAACATTAAACAGGAGGGAAACAGCGACACACAAAGACATCGATTGTAGCAAACAAGACAAGACTGTAGCAATAACCTGCAGCAACGCCTACAACCCCCTAAAGCTGGTGGACCACTGTAGTGGACCATTGGTCCATATAGCAGCAACTAACCAATAATATAAACACAACAAAAAAAAAAGCAGCAAACAAATACACAGAAGTAACCAATAAGAAGGAGGCCGTTTCTATGACATAATTCCTTCGGACGCACACAAAGGGCCACTTCTTCTGCAGGGAATAAATAAGAAAAGAATTAAATTTAATTAAAATATATATTTAATTTAATACAAGAAAAACAACAAAAAGAAGTGTTAGTTAGTCTAAGACTTGCTACCAACAATAACTCCTGTATATATAGGTATTCACAATAGGAGGGCAGTGCTGCCTGCCTAGGGTATATAATAAGCCATTTGTTGCATGCGTATTGATAAATAATATTCTTTTTGTTTTATTTTAAGTTAAAAGAGTCAAAATAAAAGGAATTTAATTATATAATTGAGAAGAAAAAGAGGAAAAAAACAGGGGCCCCGTTGCTGCTCGCGGCGGGCGGCTGCCGGCATGCGCAATGGAGTGTCTAGGCAGCTTTATGTTGTCGCGTTGTTTTTTCTTTAAAAATATTAATAAATTGAATTAATTAATTCATTTAATTCTTTGTTTCCTCCTTTTACCCTCCCTTTTCCCCCCTATATTACCCTAGGCGGCTGCGGAGTGCTGCTGCGGTGTGTGCTGTTCGTTGTCCTGGTGTTGCAGCAGCAGCTGCTGAGGGTTTAGGGTTTAGGGTTTAGGGTTTAGGGTTTGTGTACGTCCTTATGGCCTCTTTTCTTCCTTGTTTTTGCGTCTTATTGTGAGTCTATAATAGGCAGCCTAGGGTGTCTGTCCTTACGGGTGTTAGTAAGAGTCTTAATAGGCATATAAGAGGGAAGCAGCAAAGAAGGAGAATAATAATTATTATAACTTTCTTTATTCGTTGTATGACTTTCTTTCCTTATTAACAATTATTTATTGCTGCTTATATCTCCTAGGGTTTAGGGTTTAGGGTTTAGAGGGTTAAAGAAGAACCCCATGTACGTATATGATCAGGGGGCCCCCCCCTTCCTCTTTTCCCTCTCCTTTCTGATCACGCTATGCAGCATCAAAACAGCAGCAGCAGCAGCAGCAGCAGCAGACAGCTGTGGCTCTCTCGTACATTTGCCCCATATATCCTTGTAGGGGGGACACAAACAGCAAAAAGAGAGGTAGCATTATTAACAGGTTTATCCCTTGCTGGTCTTCTTAATCCTTTTGGTGGTGATGCCCTCTATCGTCTGCATGCAAAGGTTGCTGCAGCAGAGCAGCAGCATTATGGTAGGGCCCCCCGTGTTGGGGGCCCCTCCGCGGGGGCCCCCGTAGGGGGCCCCCGCGGACAGGGCCTAAGAGGGGCCCCATTGGGGGCCCCCCATCTATTAGGAGATGAGGATGGTGAGGTGTCTGCTGAGTGCCTAAGCGAATTAAGTGGTTACCCTGTTAAGGGTATAAAGGTCCCTCCTGTGTCTCTGCAGCTGCGTATACCTTGTTGTGTAGGGACAGGTGGTAGCAGCAGCAGGACAAGCAGCAGCAGCAGCAGCAGTAGTAGCAACAGCAGCAACAGCAGCAGCAGCAGTGGTAGTATAAGTCGCCCTTTTTTTGTACGTTTTCTTAATATAGAGGAAGCAGATGCTGTTCCTGCTGCAGCAGCAGACACACTTGCTGCTAGCTCCTTGCTGCTGTCTCCTCCCTCTATTGGTCATATAAAAGAGAAAATGCATGCAGATATCTTTGGGGCTTTGGATAGTATGCCATACACTGCACCAAATACAGCAACAACAACAACAACAACAACAGCAGCAGCAGCAGCAGCAAATACAGCAGCAGCAGCAGCAGCAGCAGCAGGAGCAGCAGCAGCAGCAGGAGGAGCAACCTCTACCTCTCCTGTGGTTCCCCTTCCTTCACCATCAGCGTCATCATCAAGCCCATCACCATCAGGAGGGCCTCTGTTACCCCAACGACTACCAGGACAACGAGCAGGAGGAGGAGGAGCAGGAGGAGGAGGAGCAGCAGCAGGAGGAGGAGGAGCAGCAGCAGGAGCAGCAGGAGAATATCCATGGTTTATAGATTGGCGTGATGTAATATTTGAGGGTTTACGATTTAGTGTTTACGAAACCCTAAGCCAACCATTAGGGTTTATATTATTTATATCTATAAAAGATATAAACCCTTTTGCTGCTATATATGATTTAATGCAGCAGCATCAGCAGCAGCAGCATCAGCAGCAGCAGCAGCAGCAGCAGCAACAGCAACAAAATAATAATAAATTAGTTAATTCTTTATTCTCTTCTTTTGTTCTTGATCCTAATCCTGTTAAAACTATCATCTTAATTGATGTACACCCTAATGCTTATCAAGCTAGAGCTCGTGCTGCTGCTGCTGCTGCTGCTGCTGCTGCTGCTGCTGGCGGTGGTGGTTGTGGTGGTAGTGCAGCAGCAGCAGCAGCACAGGGAACACAGAGAATGCCGGGGAGTAAAGGAGGGTATCAAGGGGTTGGGGGCCCCGCGGGGGCCCCTGGAGGGGTTACTGCAGCAGGAGGAGCAACAACAGACGGACATTCTGCTGCTGCTGCTGCTGCTGCTGCTGCTGCTGCTTCAGTTGAATCCGGGGGGACACTAGGTTCTACCCTAGATGGGGGGCCCCCAGGGGGGCCCCCAGGGCCCTCTGATGAGGAGAGGGAGAAGAGGGCAGCAGAAATAATGCGTAAATTATGCAGTGTCTTCCCTCCTGCTAATTGTCATCTTCTTACTCTTGGTCGTGGCTGTGGAGACAGGCAGCATATGCAGGTAACTGCAGCAGCAGCAGCAGCAGCAGCAGCAGCAGGGGGAGTTGAAGTAGCAGCAATTAGGTGTATTAGGGTGTGTCGTTTGTTAGTTTGCATGCGCATGTTGGTGTCTCTCGAGGGTTTAGGGTTTAGGGTTTAGGGTTTGTGTTGTAGTGCTTAGCTGAGTTATTAGTTCCTGCACTTTCTGGTGCATTTGTTGCTGCGCATCTTGCTGCATTTGCTGCTTCTGCTTCTGCTGCTGCTGCTGCTGCTGCTGCTGCTGCTGCTGTGTTATGTGTGTACAGTTGCTGCCTGCTATCCGTTTATTATATTATTCTTCCTTATCTCTTTCTTTTTCTCCTTGTTTATCTGCTGATTTAATCCCTACTCTTGTTACTCACCCTAGTCCTCCTCATAATCATCTTCCCCTTGAGCAGCAGCAGCAGCAGCAACAGCAGCAGCTGCTGCAGCAACTGCAGCAGCAGCAGCAGCAACAGCAGCAGCAGCAGCAATTAGAGACAGATGCAGAACAGTTAGGTCTATCTATAATAAATTCATCAATCCCTATCCCTGTTGCAGCAAAACTAACAGTATCTGCTGGTCGCCCTCAGCAGCAGCAGCAGCAACAGCAGCAGCAGCAACAGCAGCAGGAGCAGCAGCAGGAATCTAGCTGCTGCTTATGCGTAGGATGTATTAGCTGCAGCTTCTGTATAGGTCTATGCTGGCTAGATATCCTATGGCTCTCCTCCTTTATTAAACATTTTATTGCTGCTGCTGCTCTCCCCTGGGCAGAGCAGCGCATGCGGCAGCTAGACAGCAGCATCAGCAGCAGCAGGAAAGGGTTTAGGAATCAATTAAGATATTTATGGAGAAAACCTAAAGCTGCTGCTGCTGCTGCTGCTGCTGCTGCTGTTCATACACCACTCGTTGCTGCTGATGCTGTTGCTGGACTTGCTGCTGCAGCAGAAGAAGCTGGTGGTGCTGCTGAGGCTATACTCTCTGCTGTTGGTGGTGCCCTACTAGGTAAACAATTCTATCGAGGGTTTAGGGTTTAGGGTTTAGGGTTTAATTGTGACTAATCGTGATTCTGAATAAATTTCTGCTGTTTATTTTTTGTTTGCTGCTGCGCTGCTGCAGGCGACTCCAGCAGCAGCAGCAGCAAGAGCAGCAGCAGCGCTAGTGGAGACCCAGGCGATGCAGCAGCAGAGGGAAAGAAGAGCAGCGAGGGACAGAATGTGTCTCCTTCAGGACAAGCACCAGCATATGTTGTAAGTATACTGTGTCTAGGGTTTAGGGTTTAGGGTTTAGGGTTTAGCAGTGGTTTCCTGTTCGCGTGTATCTTATGGCCAATTTCTTGATTTAGAATCACTTTAACATTATGTTTAGGGTTTAGGGTTTACGGTTTAGGATTTAGGGTTTAGGGTCTAGGTTTATATTTTAGTGTTTAGGGTTTAGGGTTTAGGGTTTAGGGTTTAGGGTTTGTATTCAGCTGCATTC